GCTGCCCGCTAAAGAGGAGGGCAGCACAGTTGTCTCTTCTGCTTTCACCCACTAATTCATCTCTGCTGCTTCAAATAGAGTCAAAGGTGCAAAGCCTTCGGAATCAAATCAAGGTTTAGTACGCGTGTGCGGCGTAAAATCTCTAGATTGAAAACCCCTAGGGCTAGGGTTTTATTACTATCGAATCGGCATTTGGCAAAATGGAGGCTGTGGTTATCGATGCTGGCTCCAACCTCCTCAAGGCTGGACCTGCCATTCCAGATCAGTCTCCTTCCATGGTATGACAATTTTCTTTTATTTATGCATTCTCGTTTTGCTTCAGAAATCTCTTGAAATGTTTTTTTTTTTTTAGTTTGAGTGGCAGCAATGCAGAATTATTGAAATTTCTTTGGAAATTTTCAGTTCCCTTTTTTCTGTTTGCTCTCTCAATTTTAGCTTCTCATACATAAAAACTGTTTTCGTTGTGGTCAGATAATCCCTACCCAAATGAAACGCATGGTTGAAGATGGGTCCTCAGCTGATGGTTCCGGGTTTCAGGATGTCACGATTGATCCAGTCGTGAGAGGTTTTATTAAAGATTGGGATGCCATGGAGGATTTATTGCATCATGTTCTATATACCGGCCTTGGATGGGAAGTGGGAAATGAAGGTCAAATATTATTTACCGATCCACTTTATACTCCCAAGGTTAGCACTTTCTTCTATCTTAATGAATTTCTTTCTCTTCAGTGTATCCTCTGATTCTAGGAAACGTGGGGACTGTTGAGTTTTTTTTTTTTTTTTAAATATAAATTCATCTTGTTGTGTTCTTGTTGAAAACTTGAAATAGACCATGCCAGTTTTTTGCACAAAGTGCAGGTCTGGTGTTTCTACACTACAGATTCAATATATGGGTTTGTTTTGAGAACCGTTTTAATTTTTGTTTTCCATGCATAGTGATTACATTGCATTGCGGTTTCCTTTCTTGCTTGGTTACTAGTCTCTTCTAATTGATTGAAGGAATGCATAACTGCAAATTTGTTTTCCATCCTCTCCCAACCCTTCCTTTCCCTTGAAAGGTTTGTGTGCCAGTTTCCCTGTTCTTTTGCTGAATGAGGTGGGGCTTTATGTAGTATGTTCTTATGCTATTACACATATGCTCCATTGTTTATCGCTTCTCATGGTTGACTTTAAAGCCAAAGCTGTCAATCTCACTATCCTTTGATTTATTCTCTCTTTTTTTTTTTTCTAGGCTGTCAAAGAGCAACTGGTGCAACTGCTATTTGAAACATTTAATGTCTCGGGATTTTATGCATCAGAGCAAGCAGTATTGTCTCTCTATGCTGTAGGACGTATCTCCGGGTGCACTGTTGATATTGGTCATGGGAAGATAGGTACGTTCACATATAACCTTGATTTGTTTGTAATGGTAGTAAAATGGCATGCCTTAAGGTGGTAGGTTTTTATGTGATTGGATCCTAAACCACCTTGTGGCATGGTGCTGTGAATCTGTGATGGTTCATGAGGCATCAGAACCTAATAGGATTTTAATATAGATAAAAATTCTTTGATACACAAATGTTGATGATGTTTAATTGTATAGTAACTCAGAGTTCGTTGTAAACTTACTAAAATCCAGTCTGTGAACTTATGATTATTTGGCAAATTCAATTGCAGATCATTTTTCGATTGGTTTTACTCTGTGCCATGTGAAATTTTCATTTATTCGCAGACGTAGCTCCAGTTCTTGAAGGTGCAGTTCAGCATATTGCTTCAAGAAGATTTGAAATTGGAGGTTTTGATTTGACAAAGTTACTTGCACAAGAACTGAGTAAGTCTAATCCTCTGGTAAACCTCAGCTTTGCTGATGCTGAGAAATTAAAGGAGCAATACTCATGTTGTGCTGAAGATGAAGTTGCTTATGAGAGAACCCAAGAGTCATATGAGACAGAGGAACATACCTTGCCTGATGGACAGGTTTGTTAAACTTCTGTTTTTTCTTCATGTTTAAATTGAGATGTCAGGTAAGGGGGATTTCTCTGTACCTGGTTTGTATGGAGCTGTTAGTCTTCAATATGGTAAGTTTCTTGATTGTAAGACTTTTCAAATGCAATTTCAGGTGATAAAAATTGGAAGAGAAAGATATACTGTAGGCGAAGCATTGTTCCAACCATCTATATTGGGTTTAGATACACATGGAATTGTTGAGCAGCTTGTTCGTACTATTTCAACTGTATCTTCTGAGAACCACAGGCAACTGCTAGAAAATACTGTCCTTTGTGGTGGCACTACATCTTTGATTGGTTAGAGTGATATTCTGATTCTTGGATGTATTTTCCTTCAGTCCAAAATGGTTTTAAATGTCATTGAAATTTGATTTGTTACTTAAAATTCTTATAAGTGAAACTGCTGAACTGATTATCCATTAGTTCATATATAACAGCCTGCAAGGATGTCAATATAAAATAATTAAAAGAAATTTAGGTTACAATACCAGATTGTTGGATCAAAGCATTATTAACACTTCCCTTAGATATAAAGGAACAGCTTTGCCAAATATCTGAAGATAGGATACAAGACAACTGTCATAACCGGTATGTCATATATGCATGCACTTCACCCTGAGATTAGGTTCTTGGGGTTGGGAGGGGGGTAGTTATATTGTTAGATTGAAATTTCATTTTCTCTATTATTGATTTAGAGCCCTGACATGGTGTTTTGGCTGCAGGTTTTGAAGATAGGTTCCAGAAGGAAGCCAGCTTATGCTCATCATCTATCCGTCCTTCCTTAGTAAAGGTAATCTGGATACCAATCTTAGTTACTTGAAGTCCATGAAACATTGACATTTTATGAGACTTTGTATTTTGTAGCACAAATCTTTCTAAATATCTTGTTCATCACAGCCTCCAGAATATATGCCTGAGAATTTGACGGCATATTCAGCATGGGTGGGTGGTGCAATACTTGCCAAAGTAGTGTTTCCTCAAAATCAGCATGTAACTAAGGCAGACTATGATGAAACTGGGCCATCTGTCGTCCATCGGAAGTGTTTTTGATAAGCCTCATCTGAGTGAGTTGTTAGACTTTAGTTCTCTGTATTCCTGTTTTTATCATACCAGAATGTTAACCCTAGTAAAAAAAAATTCATCAATTCATATGCTTTAATTGAGAAAGCAACTTGCACTGAATATGAATGCTGTTGACTCAATATCACCTGATTTCAAGAATTGGCTTTTGGCATTCTTGCTGGCTCATGAGTTTATTTATTCAAACTGAAGTCCTCATATTTCTATTTCTTTTCCCCTACTGCCATCTCTGTGGAGTGTTCACGGTTATGCATGATATCCAAATTTGTTGGTGCTGTGTTTCTTGTCATTCTGAAATTACCATCATATTGTGTTTTCTCAGCAGATGTTCTTTATTTTGACTGCATTGGCGGTCAAAGAAGAAAAAAAAAAAGAAAAAAAAGAAAGAAAGAAGTCTTCATTGAGATTGAGAATGCCTAGAATTTCTAGAAGCTAACTTTATTTTTCTGTCACTTTTTCCAATTATATTATGTTGATTTAAATGAGCTTTATGAACTCTAATCTTGTTGTTGTGCCCAACATCATAGTTCCACTTGTGAGAGTAATAATTCGTGAACTATGAAATTTGTCTGCATTTTCTACCACCTAGGAGAAGATGTGCTAATGTAATTATAGTGTGAGGTTTTGAAAAGCATAACAAACAAAGGTGTCAAATCAAATGTGTAATGGGACCCATTACACAGAGGCACAGTGAACAACCACCCCAAGATCCAAAGGTACCCTCCCAGCCTCATACAGAATCTGATCAACAAATTTGCCCCACACAACAAAAATTCAAAGTAGGTGGACAAATCCCATTTTGTATCTTTTCTTTGCATCCCAACACCATGTAAAATAATCCCCAAAAAAGTAACAGCCATCCATGTCCATGCGGCATGCCCCTAACCTTTTTTTCTCTTTTTCATGGTCAATGGCAATAATAAAAGAAATAGTGAAGATTTTAGAAAGCTTGCCTTCCAAGATTAACTCAATTAGTTAATAATTTGAGATTTCAATATGAAAATTTGAAGTTCAAATCAATTATTGAATCAAATGAGAAAAAATTTAAAATTTTTTTTTTCCTTATATATCTATCATCACATGTTAAAAAAAAAAAAAAGGGAGAGAGAGAAAGAAAGCTTTTTGAAAGTAAGAAAAAAAGAAAGAAAGAAAGCTTTTTGAAAGTTTCTTACTGTCCAATCGAATCAGATTGGCTACGGCATACTGATCCCCATGAATAGACAAATGGGTGATTAAGATTCTTCTTTTGTTTATTAAAAAGGTAATATTTCGAGTCAGCTCCCAGCTCCGGTTAAAGGCTAGTTTTTGACGATTACAGAATTCATCGGAAAAGTTAATTAGGAGCAAATTCCATTACCAACTTCCATTACCTATTTTCAAAAAAAAAAAAAGAAAAAAAATTCCATTACCAACTAACTGAACTAAGTCAAGAAAGACAAGAAAAGATGAAGGATATCTTTTGTTGTCCTATTTCATTCTGATTGAAGAAGTAAACCCAGAACATGTTATGTACATAAAAACTGATGGTGGATTGAGCATCTAAGCTGTCGGGGTTTCCCCACTTTGATTAGACTCCAATAATTGGTTCACTTCCCAACTTTGTTTGGATGCAACCTTGTCATGCACTGGTGCATACTCCTGCAATACCAGAACAAATAACAAAAATTATTCCTACATCCTGGTCCCATCTTCACTCATCCTCTCCAATAATTCAGCAACAATATCTAATATGAATGACAATAGATTAGTTCCATGGTGTAGGAAAATTCAGCATCTTTATGTATATAAAATACCTCCATCTTTCTGAGGAGTTCTGCTGCTGTATCTGCAATGACCACAATATTTCTAGCTGAACCTTCTATGAAACCTTCCTCAACTCCTTTGTCAAATAAGGTAAGCAAGCAGTTGTAATACCCATCAACATTTAACAATCCCACCTGTTATAAAATTCAAAAGAAGATAAAAAGGAATGAGAAAACCGTTTGAAAAAACAAAAAGCAGAATGTAAAGACTAAAAAAGATTCCATTTCTCTTACTGGTTTATCATGAATTCCTAACTGAGCCCAGGCTATTATCTCTAAAAGCTCTTCCATGGTTCCATAACCACCTGTTTATTTAAACAGGCAAAAAGTTAATTCAAAGTTCATATATGTAGTGTTCTTATGTAACTTACCAATAATTTTGGAATATACCAGGAAGTGCTATGAAAGCATCGGCATGTTTAGACATTGCTGACTTCCTCTGGTGCATGTCCGCAACAATTTTAACCTCTCCAATAGTTTCTCCTAATATCTGTAACTGTTAAGTGTCAATTTTCCATCTCCTAGAAAGCTTCTAAATGAACTAAAAAAGAATGCAACATGAGGGATAAATGGTTGTACCTCATGGGACAAAAGAGCTTTAGGAATTACTCTACAAACACTCAAAAAGAAGTAGGTAAATTTTCTCATGATATCAACGAAAGGATAGGTATAAACAGCAATCTTTAAAACAAAATATACCCAAGAACATGGCGACCTCCATTGAATACAGTCCGAGAGATCAAACCCATGAGCCCAACACTTCCTCCTCCATACACCAAATCAATATTTCTTTCTACCTAACATCAGAGGAACACATAAATCATAAATTTGATGAGGCAGAAACTGAACGAAGGAATAGAGTCATTTATCCTTAGAGTAAGACATACCAGCTGTTTACCAAGCTCAAGAGCTGCATCGGTGAATGAAGCCTTTTGTCCAGCTCTGCTGCCACAGAATACACATATGCTTTTGAACTTTGGTTTTTGCTCATTTGCTTTGGATATACCTTCTCCCTCCATGATGAGATTATAGAAAGAAAGGAGTTAGTTTGATACTGAGATAGATCGAGAGAGAAGGAGACACCCCTGCTTTTGAATCTCTATCACAGACACATCCTTCTGTCTGGTTAAACAAGTACTTTTTGTTGGAGAAGAGTCCAACAGGACAAGAGCCCATCTCCATATCCACTTTTTTTTATCTCTTTTCTTATCAAACCTCCATTAAAATTTAACCACTCCCATTCCCTTTCCATTTTTATCCATTTTGATCCCACCACTACTTTCCACATTCATTTTAGTTACAAAAACCAAACAAGACCATGCATGTGTCTTCCTTTTCAAATGCACAGAACTCCCAACTAGAAAAACAAGACCGATCAGTTTTTTGAAATGGGATTTTAACCTCACCTTTTACCATTAAACTGAGATGGTGATGCTATATTAATAGCACAGTAGATTTTAATTAATCATGTTTACCTCATAGCAGATCCTGTATGGATCTTCTCCATAATTCTTTATGTCTCTCACTATATTTTATAGACAAATAAGTTTCTTTCCATCATTATATATAATTGATAGCTTTGTCAATCCACCTTGCCTAAAATAATAAACTATGATGCCATTCCCATTTTTTTAACTCGGTTTTCTTTATTCAATAATTAGACATTTTATTAGCAAAGGGATCAAAATAAATATAAAAGTGGATTTGAAATGATATGACAAATGAAATTGTCTATTCCTCTTATGTTGAATTTGATCAATTAGAGCAATTCAATGTTATTTTCTGGGAATCCAAACAAGTCATTATCAAAGTATGGAGAAAGGTCTAGGAAGCTCAATGAAGCAAAGGAGAAGGACCAAATTAAATCACCAAAGTAGGGCCTTTTTAAATAGGGGATAGGGTACCCCCATATCTCCTTGCTTAGGCAATGGCAGTGGCATTTATTTTCTTTAAGATGCTTAGATTAGATTCTTCCCCATGTCGTCTTCCATGTCCTTTCTTTCATATAATGTGAGCCGTAAAAGAACCTTTCTTAACTTCGTCTGTCACGTAGAACTTGTAATTTAAAAGTCTCAACTTCGAGTGTCCGTTCACGTCGAACTTGGACTTGGTCCCAAGTGTATTTTGTCCCATTTCCCCCCAAATGGCATGTTGATTTTATATTTGATGGCATGTTTCATGCTGTTCACATTCGTGTTCGGAGTAGGATTAAGTTTCTTCAATGAAAGTTTGTCTTTCAAAAGCTCAAATTTAAATTATTACTTATTAGTAATAGTTTGTGTTTATACGTATATATCACTCATACTCACACTTTCATTCTAATGTGAGATTTGATCTCGACTCTCATAAAACAATTAGAATCTCAATTTCAAAAACATCCTTCTTCAATAAATATTTTTAAAAATCAACTGTTAAATTTAATATTTCATTGATATAAATTATATATATCAATTTTCAAGTTAATTTAACATCCATAATCATTTGATAAAAAAAACCTTGTATTTTCTAATATGTATCTAACAATGATAACTTTTCTATAATCAATTAACTAACTATATCTATGGCGCTAATATTTTGAAGAGCAACGAGGATAGACGATCCCTCTGTTGACTAATCCAACATTGGAACAGGAAGCTCTAGCAACTTGGTCGTTGTCTTCTTGTAATAGTTGTCGTCCCAATGCAATGTTCTGCAACCAAATGCCATGGCAAGGGAAGCTCTTGCTGCAGCTAAGTTTTATGGCATCCTCAGATGCACTGCTTCCTCTAATGTTGTTGTACATCACGTTGCTTATTCGAACGGCTGGGTGCTGCAAATTAATCAAATCATCAGATGTTGAATTAATTAAGGGGAGTTGGTGATTGTTGGATGTTGAATCCACCACTTCAAATCAATTTACCTGTTCTGGGCATGGTTTCTCTTGGTCACAATAGTATTGGTTGATGATTATAGGATTGCTCACATTTTGCATTACCACATTTTGAAATATTATGTTTTTGGCGTACCCTGATCCTCCCTACATCAAATGTAAATGTCAAGATATCATTATCAAAAGTTTGAAAACCTACCTCACATCACATCGTTTATGCAAGTAAGAGAAGAGCATAATATGAAAGGGTTAACTTCCACTCAAAATAAATAAATATGAAATCTAAAATTCTTATTTTGAAGGATCATTTGCCCCAAATTTTGGGTAACTGGAATTTGGTACAAGTCAACAAACAAGTAGAAATTTGTCATGTTTTTGGTGTGTTCTAAGGAATATATAGTCATCGCTGTTATTATCTCCAAGACCAATTTCAGTGTGGATTCTACTTTGTACATTGCGGACTACTTTTTACAATGTTTTTGAGGAGTTGCTCAACTTGTTCTATTCTATATATCCTATCTTCCTTATTTGCTGATGTTTGGGCAAGATTAAAGCAACATTTTTAGTATCTTAATCGAGGAAACCATACGTATGGTCAAAGCTAGGGCAAATCTTTGTAAAGATTTCTTGAAAATGGTATCCAATTAGTAGAAATTAATCAATCATAGTCTTTACCTGCCAAGTCTTTATCCTCACCCCGTTAGTAGTCCCTGAAAGTCTTGCTTTGTCAACCACAACATTAGAAACATAGGCTGCTGAATTTCGAGCCCCTAAACTTCCAATACTGCACAAAAATAGTCATCATATAAGAAACGAATTAGTTTGGTAAAAAAAAAAAGAAAAAGAAAAGGATCAATTTTAGGTATAAATTTGGTTCCTTAAAATGGAACTAAAGATGATTATTACCTTATTCCATGCCCTGGTCCACAGGTTATACCAGTTGCACGAACATTTTTTGAGCCACTAACTATAGAAATACAGTCATCACCTGCAATATAATGTTATATTTTACTACATAAAATTAGAACAGAAGATATTGTGATCAGATAATTACAATTTGGTGTTTGGGTTTTAATAATGTTAACGTACCTGTCTTTATGACAGAGTTCTTAATCAAAATATTCTGTGTCTCAGTGACATGAATTCCATCAGTATTAGGGCTGTACTCTGGAGCTGTCACCAGGACATTTGAAGCTTTGACATTGAAACATCTCTGAAATCTGAGATGCATTTGTTGAGCATTTTGGAACCAAAGGCTAGATACTATTAAATTGCTGCATTCGAAGAAAGTCACAGCCTGCAAATTTTTTTTAATCCATGCATGAATAAGATTTTTTTTTTTTTTTAATGATATGATTAAATTAAAGAAATTAAGAGAAATAAATTGATTAAACAAGAAGAGACAGGTATATGAACTTACTGTTGGTGCATCTCTGCATGGCTGCGGAATAGGGGATAAATAATTTAAGTACCGTTAGCTGCGTTTTCTCAGGAAACAAACAGAGTATTAAGAAATGGGAAAGGAAGAAAATTAAATGACATACGAGTTTTTTATTAACTTTGCAGGAATTTTGCCACCAAATCTTGCCATTGCCATTGATGATGCCACCACCGTCGACTCTCAAGTTTTGAACATTGGAAAAAAGAAGCCAATGTGTTGGATCTTTGGAGTAATCTGATGTATGGTTTGTGGCATTAATTTTTCCATAGATCTACCACAAGTAGCATGGAAAAATTGTTAAATAAATATTTGATCAAAGGGTTTATGAATGAGACATGCGCGCAAGCAAAAGCGGAATCACCTTGAATGCAAGATTGGATCGGCAGGGGCCTGAGAAAGTGATTGGCTTGAGAACATAATCTCTGTTCTTGGGGACTACTAGTAGAACAGTTCCTGTAGAAGAACATGCCTCCTTCCAAGCTCTCTTAAATGCCTGAAACCAATTCCAAAGTGAAATTAGGACACGGCAATGACATGTAAGTTAATGAAACCAAAGAAAAATGCATGGTACCTTAGAATCATCTCTTCCATCAGCTTTAGCTCCAAAAGCATCCACATTGACAACCTTTGGGCGGATGACCAGATGACTGGCACGAAGTGGGTTTTTGTAGTTGCGGCGGTGAGCAGAGTTGGGCTTATGGTAGTAGTAGTTTTGTTTGTAATTTGTAAAATAGAATGGAGGAGGGTAGAGTGTTGGTGTATGAAAATGATCAAGGTTGTGATATAGGTCCTCATAACAGGATGATACAGAGATTAAAGAAATGACAAGTAGTAAGAGACAATGGCTCTTCTTCAGGTTCAAGTACATTATTCTGGGAGATAAAAGATGACAATATTGGATCAAATTAAGGATGTAAGATGGGGACATGGTTTGTCCTTGAGCGAATTAATTGTACCAGATATAGGCGAGGTATTTATAGGAAAGTGGAGAAACTGTTTGACATAGAATGTAAAAGAGAGACAATTTAAGAGAAGAAAATGAAGTTTGTGGAGAAGCAACTGCTGCTTAGAAAAATGGTAATGTGAATGACTCAGTCATACCTGAAGGATTGAAACGGAAGGTTCATTTGCATAATATCTTAAGAAGATGGAAGCCTTTTTAGTTTCCTGTGTTGGTTTACCAAACATGGAATTCTACCTCTGTTTGTGGTATTTTTATTTGGTATTGATCCACGTATTCCTTTCCTTTTGTTGCAAAAGTGCCTGATTGTCTGCTAATGTTTATTTTTGACTACCTTCGTTATAGAAGGAAGAGTACGCAATGAAATTCAACAGGGGAAGTTCTCATATATGCCGTTTGACTAACAATTTTTTGAACAAATTGATAAATACGTTGATTTTGGTTTTATATATAAAGGATCAATCAAATTGTACAATTTGCAATTGTGAAAGGTGTGAAAGAAGAAGAAACAGGATGGAGTTGTGAACGCATTAGTGCAATGTTAGGTGAAATAGGCGTTCGTGTGACGGATGAGGTAGGACTAGGAGTACGGGATATGTGTGTATTTTTTTTTTTTTTGAACGGATTTTACAAGGGGTTGGGTTCGAACCCTAGTCCTGGGGAGGGGGAATGCACCATAGATGACTATTGTCACTTGGCCCGAAGGGCTCGGTGTGGGATATGTATTTATTTTGAAAATCATACATAACATAATATGTATAGATAAATATTATTAAACATCTTATTAACCAGATATCATATTAAATTTTGCTTAATTTAAAGTCAAGTTATATTGAATTTAGTCGAAAAAATTTTTTTTGACGTTTGATTTTTAATTTATAAAATTAAAATTTAAAATTTTATTTTAAAAAATTAAATTTTTTTCTACATAAATCAATGTGTTGATGGCCAATATAATATATATATATATATATTGACGACATAATAATGTTCTTTCCATTCGTTTTGACCTAACAAACAAACCCAATATTTTTTTATTAGGTATAGAAAACTGCAAACTTTTTTTACCCAACCACCAAGCTATCTGAAAATAATTTAGATACCAAACCATATATGGACAGGGAGAGGGTGAAAGAAAAAGTGAGTGCATTGGCAACTTATTTAATCAGGGTTTTAGGTGAAAGGACACTAATCCGTAAATATAATGGAGGATTAAAACAATAATATGCAAAATACAACGTATGAGAAATCCAACAATTGCAATGACTCACTCACGACACGATTTAGGCAGAGTGGCTGCGGGTGTCATTATAACAGAAAACGGCACTAACGACTAATGTAATTACATTATCCCTCTCCTATGAAGCCAAGCAAGCCCAAGGAATTGGTGTGGACCTGAAATTTTGTTCAAAAACTCAATTTTCTTAACAGCCTAGACCAAAACTCAATATCCATTATTATTATTACTATTTACTATAAAGAATTATATTTTATAATTCAAATTGTATCAAATTATAAGATAAAAATGATTAAGAGAGCTTTTAATATAAAGATATTAAAGTTTAATTTTTATTTAATAGTTAATATAATATTTTTTAGTATTAATCTCTTAGTATTCGATAACCACATTGGATTCCAATTAATTTAGAATTGAGTCGCGTCAGATCCTATTAAGGAGAAAACGCTCTCAACTTTTATTTCCCAATTCATAAGAGTCGAACTCAAAACTTTAATAAAAGGAACTGAGTTCCTTTCACTTTAACCAACAAATCATTAATATGGTTAATATAATATAATTTAGTATACTTTAAACTGTATTATTATTTTTTTTTTGTTGTATTATAGTAGAAGCCCTATTACTAGTATTGTTTTTGCATGGTTTCGTCCCTTGGCTTTGAGGTCTTGACAAGGGGTGGGCCTGCCATTTTGGGTTCATCAACTGATTAAGCAATCTTGGCCGTTGGATGCTTAACCAATCATTTCAGGACATTAGGAGAAGAGAAAGAAGGCCACTAAC